CAAATCCCGGTGCGGTGCGGCCCTGCCCCTGCGCTGCCACGGAAGGTGCTGGAGGCAGCACTGCGAGTGCCAGTGTCAGACCCACACCTGCCCCACGAGGGTCCACGTCCCCCTGAACTTGTGGGTCGTGACTTGCAAACCCAGGGTCTGAATGGAGACAGCACCCCGTGACGGGCTGGTGGCACCCATGTCTCTGGGGAGCAAACTGCCATGGGCGACGGAGGCAAACACCCCCCCGATCTTCTCCATTTGAGGCAGCGGGTCACTGGGGGGACCAGCTTATTCTCGAAGAACCCACAGCAGATGTTTCAGTCCATGGCAGTTCCTCTGTGGGGAAGAGAAGGGAAACAACGCCAGGCTTCCCGGGAGCCAGAGGACAGGAAGCTGCAGCGACCACGTCCAGCCCGCTCCTGGGTGGGTGTCTGATCCCTTCAAAGCCATTAGTGCCTCTCCCCTGAACGCCTCTTGTACTGGAAGGTGCTGCCTCCTGCAGTGCCTGGAAACCTGCTTTTTATTTCCCTGATAGAAAGAATTTCATAGCTGGTCTGAATCCAGTTGCTCTCGTGCCAGGGATGCTCCAGGCTTCCTCCCCCATTCCCAGCCCAGCCGAGTGTATTCATGGAGCACGGCCACGGCCCCACTCGCTCTTGCTTTGTCAGCCTGAAGCAGCCAGCTTCTGAGCCTCCTCTCAGAAAACATCCCGGTAACACGTCTCTTCCCCCTTCAATTGATTCTGCTGAATGTGGGCGACCAGCACTGGAGACAACGAGGGACGGATGCGTCACCCAGCCTTTCTACGCAGCAGAAGTCCCTTCGGCGCTACTGGAAATACCGTGACATCCCAGGACGGGGGGATGATGATGAGATGATGTTTTTCGCGTCAGTGGCTCGTTACTCTTGTGCTACAGGCTGGACATTCCCAGGTCCTCTCCTCTCTTCCCTCATTTTCCTGCAAGAGATTCCCAAGCAGGGCAGGCAGGGTTTTACCAGCTGCCTTTCATTCCCTTTACGACACTCTTACGGCCAAAGGCACCAGCTCCTCCAGCACGACGTCCCCAGGCTGCGGGTCATGTATCTCCACCACAGGGAGGGCTCGTGGGGAAGGGGCTTCCCTGAGACGCCCCGGGGAGAAGCGGCAGCCCTGTAGCGGACCAGAGTCATCCCCCAGAGCATTACCTTTCAGTCCAAACGTCCCCGAGATGGACGGCTGCTCCCCCGTAAACTTCTTAGGAGTTTTCTGTTTCCTTCCTGACTCAAAAGAGAGAAACAGAGGGAGAGATTTGGTCAAATAACTGTACTGCCAGGGGGGCTTCCGCAGTCCTAAGGCAAGGGGGGGGCACGCGCTGCATGTCAGCGGTGGATCACCCTGAGGAGGCCTTTGCCCCTGTGAAACCCAGGGCTGTTGAAGGAAGCAGCCACCCCACCAAAGAGGAACGCGACGCTGCTTCCCACCCCACAAAACCAGGAGAAATCATGCTGCCCAAGGCCAGCTCAAACCGTGGAAGCCGTGGCTCTGCCTC